AACGCAGCCGCGGTCGCGATCTCCAGCTGAAAGACGCGCGCGCACAATGGCTAGTCAGCCACTCGAGAGGTCGAAGGTGAATTAGAAGCCAGGCGGGCTGCCGGCGAATCAAAGCGCGCGCGTCTTGGCCGCGTCTTGGTGGAGGCGCGCGAGAGTGTCGACAATCGGAACCTGCAATCTGCGCGCGAGGGAGGAACAAGAAAGAAGTGTCGCGCACGGGGCCCGACTTATCGCCTAGAAAAGACGGGAGAGGAGAGGCCGTTTGATCGTCCGGCTGCTTAATAAGAGACGCCGCTACCGCTTTGGCTCTCTCATTATCGGCGGACGCGTCATTACGCTGCGGCGTGGCGCGCCATCGGAATTACACGCCGCCCCCTCGGCCCGCGGATTTATCGGTCGTGCGCGGCGCTACCGCGCGGCACGTCGCCGCCCCCACCCGAGATCCCTTTCACTTTGTCCCTGCGATAAGACTTATCGTCGTGCCCGTGGCTCGTCAAAAACCGAAGGCGCGTTTTCGGCGAGGCGAACGAGCTATCGCCGGGCGGGATCGGCCGCCACGCCTACCCAATTTGCCCCGAGACGCGCGCCAGCCGAAGCTAGCCGACGACGATCTCGTTCCAGCCGACTCTTGTCTTTCTCTCGCCGATAACACGCCGAGTCGCGCTCGGCGGAGCCGGATCGGCGAGCTCGTCGCTTCGCCGCTGGAAATACCTTCTGCCGCCTCGCTCTGGCACCGCCTTCGTGAATATTCATCGGCAGACTTTATTTCGGCGCGGCTCGTTACGACAACCAAGTGCCTCGACCACCGGCGCGCTTTAGCGCCATAATGCTTACTTAGCCGTGACGATCGCCTAGTGACGCGTCTTTAAATTGGAATCGGTGATCGAACCCATTGCAATCGTCTTGTTTCAATTGCAGATCAGCCGCATCGGCGGTTATCCGAGGAAGAAGGCGCGCGCGCGCGCGGACCATTGACATTATTATGATTGACAGCCGTAGCCCTTTTAACGCGAGTCGCATGCAAACGAGTTACGCGTCATTCTGATAAAATGATCTTGGATAGACGAGTTCTGCTGGGCGGTATACGCGAACAAGCGCGGTTAGACGCTACGCGCGTTTAGAGAGGCTTGTTCATTTCGATAACAGTTAAGTGCTTTTTTTGCGATTCGCAAGCTAGTTTTGACGTTTTGACGGCAGCGCGCAGCGCTCCAAACTGTTTGAAATTCCGTTTGGCTCGAACAACGCGATACAACGCAAAGGAGCTTTGTGTCCCTGGGTTCGCTAAATAATATCGAACGCGGCGAAAAAAAAGCTTTGGCTTTCGACACGCACGTGAAAGTATGCAGACGCGGCGTCAATTTTGCAGTGCGAGCCGTCTCCCCTTGTGCGTCGCGTTAAGCACGACGCAAGGGAACAATAGCAATTTAGAAAATGGAGAGGGAGAGAGAGAGAGAGTCGAACAAACGCGGCGTAAATTTCGTCGCGAGCAATTTACATTTTAGCTTTCTGTTGATTCGAACGTTCAATCTTATCGCGGTTAAGGGGAAAAAAAAACTGCGGAAATGCGGCGATAAAGACAGGCACGTCAGCGCGGCGGTGCTTGTAACTGGCCTTTCGCGCGTTTGGCTTTCCCGATACGCGCGATAAAAGTTGATTCGATTTCAGCAAGGAAACTACGCTAATGTTTATGCTGATTCGACGAAACGTTAAATTGATACGACGATAGTCAAAAACGATTAGCCTGGGATAAGAGGGAGAAATAAGCGATGGCCGATTTCAGTGCCTGAAAGATCCTTCGGAGAAGAACAAAAAAAATCGTCCCTCGTAGGTATACTTCCGCCAGGGCAAAGTCTTATCACCGAGCGAGCTATTCAGCGGACGAATTATCACGCGGCTTTCTGGAAGACTATACCGGCGCTGCGTGTGCCAGCGTATAAGAATCTTCCCTGGTCGCCGCGCAGCATTTCCACCCCTCTTGCGAGCCCCAGGGAAATTTCCCTTTCCATCCCTGAAATCTGCCGGACGTTAAAGTTGCATATTTATCGGCGAGGGCGGACGCCGCTGCCGCGCGTTCATACGAATAATGAGAGGGGCCGACACTATAGACAACGAATATTTGATCGCAAAGCCGCAGCTGCTGCATTTATGTAATAACGAATTTTGCATTGATTGCGCGCGCGCTTCGAGCTTTTTTCTCTCTTTTTTTTTCTGGACGGAGTATGAATGCGTAATTCTCTCATTTGGTTGTGACGGTGCGACACGGAACTACGATGAAACGTCCGTATTTCAAGAAAATCACGCAACTCTCGCTTTACAACTCTCGGTAAAATACGCAGATGATGAGTCGCGACAAAAAACGCGAACATAATGCGTCTCTTGTCATTACCTCTCTCTCTCTCTCTCTCTCTCTCTCTCTCTCTCTCTCTCTCTCTCTCTCTCTCTCTCTCTCTCTCATTCTCTCTTTATTGCCGCGGCACTAAAACAATAATGAAGCCGAGTAAATCACGTAAATCGTTTGAGAGAGAGATATTTTTTTTTCTTTTGCGCAAGGACGAAGAAATCAACGGTTGTTACGTTGGTTCGCATTGCGCACGTATGTAGCCTTTTCATCAGACATTACTGTGATTATTATTTCTTCGTTTTAGTCGTACGAGGCGTCGAGAAGACGCGCGGTTTCGTTAGTTATTAAAGGGAAACGAGTTAAAATTGCCGCACCACGTCTGTAGCCGCGTCTACGAGATCGCGAAAACAAAGTAAACTAAATAAAACGGTGTCTTTATTACTTTTACTTTCGTTCTTGTTTTCGATGAAACTTGTGATAATCGTAAGACGCGTTCGGCTTGCAACGACGAGCATCATCGTACAGCAGATCTCCCCTTCGCGCGCGCACCGAGATAATACAACGAAGGAATGCCAGAGTGGAACGTGCCCCCGGCCTTGGGCCGAAAATTCAGTGCGTGTCGAGTGCAAGGCAGGCGGTGCCGCATTAGTTAGCGTTCGGGGTGAGCGGCGCTAGGCCGATCAGCTCCCCTGTGTGCGGCGCTGCGCGCAGGAGCGTCCAACCCCCGTGAATGGTTATGCGCCTGGGGAGACAGAGAGAAAGGGCCAACGTCTACGTTCTTGGCTGCGGAGAGATATGGGGATTTTCCTTTGCCAGGCATCTCTTTTAATTCCGATTAGGCCGAGCGACGCTTCGAACTGATCGCCGCTTTCTCCCAGTCAACGTCGTCGCCGCGACGGCTACTTTGTTTTATCTCGAGAATGGTAGCGCAGCACGCGTTTCGCCGAGCCCCGTACGTGGCGTGGGGTAATTCACTTGCTCCCACGCGACCCCCACGAAGGGCAGCGATGATGTGCGCTCGAGCGTCATTGCCCTTACCCACGCGAAACGCCTCCCTCCGTACCACCAAAATGACACGACGCATCATTGTGCATTACGCTCTGCTACGTGCTGCGATAATCTCGCGAGCGCGTCGATGGGGGTGCATTGACATTTCGCAGAGCTTCGTTAAATGTCGTAATTGCGCTTCTCGATGAAAATGAAAAATTTAACATCGCCGTGGTGGTCCACGCGATATGAGCGTAGGATAAGAGGAGCGGTCGGACTTGCCTGTAACGAGGGACGAAATAAGACACTTCTCGGGGGAGACACACTTACCTCTAGACGCTGTACGCTTTCCCAGCCCAACCGCGTTCGTGCGTTTTTTTTTCAAATATAAGCGAGAAGGCCTTGGCGCATACGTGCACGCGCGAAATCGAATTATTACCGCATGAAATTGGAAACGCGATCGACGTTGCTGTGTATATGCACTGCGTGGCGAAATTGCGCATTGTGACGTTGATCGGCACGCACGAAACAAAAAAAAATAAATAAATGGACAAGGATAAAAAAATAAATCGAGCGCGCGTGGTAAGGGATCGATGACTGGATGGTTTAGCTTGTCGACAGCAGCAGCAGTTCAACAGGGACGCCAGATAAATTGCAATCTGGTTTCACTGACTTCCTCTATGGCAAGTGTTTTCAATTTAGCGCTTACCTTAGCGCGTTGAGTTTTCTATGTCGAGTTTGAAATTTCGATGTTGAGCGTTGTCATTCGCCAATCGTCAGTCGTGTATCGTTTAACAAGTTTAAGAGCGTACACCCCAATGTATTTTTATAGAGTTACATACAACTCGAAGCGTGCATACGAAAGCAATCATCATATTCGGACAACATTCACAATGAGTTGTCAAAATTTCTCTTTTTTCAACGTCAGCGAATTCGAAAAGCGTAGCGCACAATATTCAAATAACAAGCACACCAAGTTTCTTTGGACGCGTGCAAGAAAAATACGTTTTCCCCTCTGTCAGTAATTATATGAATATTATATAAAAATATCCATTTCATAAACAATTTCATTTTTAAAATGTCAAGTCACTTTCTTTTCTAAGATATCTACTTAAAAATACGTTCGATATTGTTGAAAGAATCGATGTTCGCATTCCCATTAGCTCAATACCAAACCTGTCGAGCAACAATGTCATTAAGACGAACGAACAAATAAAAAGTATTAGCTCCGCCACTGAACCGCGTAGTAGCTCGTGAATCTTGGAGGACTTGATTACTACGCAAGATAGAAAGCCCGATTCTCCGCAACTTGGTGAGCTGGCGTGTACGTTTGCGTAGAATTACGTGACTTTACTCGGCAAATTGAATTTTAGCAGGTTTATGAGAGCACAAGTTTCATCTCGAGTGCGAGACGCACACGGCAACGCTGCTTTTAACCTGCGCTCGGCTGCTGTAAATATCACAGGCTTCATCGAATCGCAAGATGGTAATATCGACAAAGATACACTGCTTCAATTCTGATCTTCGGCTTGTGCATTTTCTTCATAATTCGATCGTAAACTCGAACTTGGATGTTAAATTTCTCAAGTTATCAAAGCTCGTCAATTCAAGTCAAGCACATTCGATCAGCAGACTATAGAGTAAAATTCTGACGTTGCAAATTCTACAATCAGAGAAAGATCGCTTCACCAGGCCACCTGAAAAAGTAGTCCAGGCAGCCACGGGACGACCTGTTCCCTTTCAAAAATAGGTTCGCTTAATTATGTAAACATTGCTAAGCGTTACCAAAGCCGAATATTTTCCTTACTCATTAGTTTAAGGCACGATTACGGAAATCGCTGCTCAGGCTTATATGCTTCGCGCTCCTCTGTTTCTCTTTCGCTTTACTGAAAACACCGTCGCGAGCCATCTAACGGTCCGACGCGCGAAACGATTGGCGCGCCAAAATTCAATTCACATTACGATGAAGCGGCGGCGACTGTTCGTTCGTGAAATGTTGGCGTGCATAACATATGAATCGAATTAGCGATATTAAAAAGATTTTCAATTCCCGCAGTTCGTACCGTAAATCGCATCGAACGAACACGAGAAAAATGCAGCAGCGCAGGTACCTCGGATAATTGCATCGAACTTCCCTGGAGGTTACTGCAGTGGCATTAACGTTCCCACATGGGCGGAGGCGACAACTCGACGGCAATACGTCGTACATCGTATAAAATTAAGAAGGCTTTCCACGTCGCCCCAAAGGTATAACGCACGTCTTTGCGTTTGTCTTTATTAATGATACATTCGCGACTAACTTGTTCGTGTAAACAAAATTTAACATCCGTAGACTAAAACAAAAATGAATCTCTCCCCTCGAAAACAAAAATTGAAAAAAAAAACGCCCAGCGAGGGGTGTTAGTGTATATATCCCAAGTTACAAAGAGAGAGCGAGAGAGAGAAGGGATGCGCGCTCAAGAGGGTGTCTCTCTGTCGGTCCACGCGTAGTAGAGTAGGGGTGCGCTATCGATTGCCGAGCGCCCAGGCAAGCGCCAGCCATGGAGAGACGGACGGACCAGCAGCGTAGTTGCAAGCCGCGCGAGAGAAAGAGAAGCGAAAGGAGCTTTTGTGACGATGTGTTTCTCTCGCTCTTCCTCTCCTTTTTCCACGCGGCGATCGATAACTTCACTTGCCCTTTGCACGTTTTTTTTCTCTCTCCCTTGCTCCTTCTCTCTCTCTCTCTCTCTCTCTCTCTTTACTTCGAGCGTTGGCTTTGAGGTTTCTTTTCCGGAAATGCTTCGCGTTGCGTTGCGCACAAGTGTATTGAAACGGCAGTTGGAAACTCGCACGCGTCAGAGACATTGGCAATGTAAACGCGCACGACAGTGTCTCCATTAAGGATGCACATCGCAGTGTGTCGTAAATGGCAAGCGAACGGCAGGCCTCGGGTGGCGATTGCTGCGTAGGCAAGAGGAGCTTTGATTGCAGGCGATGCCCTCTCTTTTGAGAACGTCGGAACAATGCGGTGGGCGCGCGCAACAGAGAGAAATACATAATGACCGCAGTGAGATGCTTCGAGGATGAAAGGCGCCAAGAAGGAAACACTTGCACGCGAGCCCTCGTTGATGGCTTCGGAAATCGGACCTCCGCGGGTCACTCGTGAGTGCGCTTGATTGACGTCATTTCACTTAATGGGCGCGAGCTCTTCGCTTTTTTTCTTGCCTTATCTGGAAATCGACCGATTTTCTCTCGTTGCAGCACGCGATTATTTATTTATTTATTTTTTTTTTTCAAATCGTCGCTGTACTCACGTTCGCGATGCATAGACCTCTGTTCGCCAAGTGGCTAATACTTACCTGCAACACAAAAAAAAAGACACGATGAGTTATGGAAAATGTTTCAATGTTTGTGACAGCTGTATCTACGTGATTCGAGAAAATTTAAGCGAATAGCTGCGACTTTGATTTCAGTGACGAATTTATGATGTTACAATCAGAAAGGAAGGAATAAATGGAAATAATATTTCGATACATTCATAACAATAACGCCTGAATAGTCAGAAATATTGAAATACAAAAGTGTTTATTTGATCAACGGTCCAATAATTCCGTGCACGTGAAATCGTCAAATATATTGCAATAACACAACTGACAAGCAAACGATCCAACTCGACACACAAATACACAATAAACTGAGGAATAATCATCGTTCGATATCGCATTAAAGCGAACGCGCAGTCGTGAGGGAGAGGAAAATGCATTGGTATGTCGATGCGATAATGAATTATTTATCAGCAGTGTCCGGCAAAACCGCAAGATGAGAACGCGCGCATTGTTTTTTTGACCTATCTCACTTTCATCTGCAGAGAAAACTGCCCGATGAAAGCATTCGATCGACAAGGTATTGCTGAGAATTTTATATTCTATAGAATAATTGCACTCGACTGTCCGATAAATTCGTCATTCATCGTTTACACAAAAGAGAAATTTCGATGAATGAAAAATCTGTAAAGCATTCTGCTAATCAAAACCAGTCAAAATGAAAAAGAACGAAGTAATCAACTATGCTTTAATCGTCATCACTTCATGAAATCACACGTATAAAAACGAGTCGTCGATGATGAATATGAACGAGTAATAATTCAAAGTCTATGCATATCGAACTTTATTGAGAGTTAATTTATGCTGCTGGGCATTTTGCACGAGAGGTTTGTGGCTATCAACGAATAATAATAACGCTGATTAATCAATCAATACACTCGAGGTTTTATACATATAAGGATTCCAATAACATTCCGCTTTTTAGCAGCAAATTAATTTATATGTGATTAGCTGATTGTCCACACTGTCTGTGAGATTTATATGTGCGATGCACACTTAAAATAGAATTTTATTCGGATGCATTTTGCCTGGCTTAAATGGTCGTTATTCAGTATTCAAATATTTTTACTATTGATTGACAATGATCATTCTATAGAACAACAAAATGAGACACAATTAAGAAAAGTAAAAAAGAAACGATACTTCAATACTACTAGCCAATTTGGTTTTTTAATCAACGGCATATCGTCATTTATAACAAGGCTCATTTTACTTTTAATGGTTGAATAGATTCCGATACTGATACGTTCAGCTTATTCCTTTCTCGAAAAACCATCTATCATTTACTGCGGAAAAAACTAAAAATAATAAAATGGGTCGACCGATAAAATCGATACTGTCATAGCTAAATGCATATGTATAGTAAACTTGAAAAATTTATTTGGAAAGGTTACTCGCGGTTATTTGTTGGCGACGTTGACGATGATGTTATTGGATTGAAAATTGAAAACTTATATTTCTAAGACAGCTGCACTTCTTGTAACTTTAGCTGACGCGTTTGTGATGTATTAGCGAGAATCTATCGATCTGGTGTTGAGTGTTTGAGTTTTTAAAATTCTGTATTTAATTAACAATCCAACATGCAATAAATTTTGTTAGGGCTCTTTTTAGTTATTTTTTCAATCAAATGAAATCGCAGATAATATTATCGAATGCACTAAGTATCAAAATATGATTACAAAATATTAATCTCACTCCACTTTGCGATTGCATTCACATTTAACGTTACTAGAAACTTAGTAATAAAAAAGACTCATCATCATTACTATTTATCCCTTTATTTATGACTTTCCTTTGAAGCTTAATTAGCACTTATTCATTGCCGAGTCAATTAATTTTTTCGACATGCGAGTTAATCGTTATTTCAGAAATCGCAATGACGCTCGATAATTAATCTTTCTTTATCAATAAAATGGCCAATGCGCGGAAACGACTGGTATTCAGCGTATCAGGCAATAAACTTGCAATACTGCCAGGCTCTGAAAACAGACAAGTGTCTGTAAAGCTTGTCATAACTAAGCCACGCGCTAGCAAATGAGTCTCGATTAACTCGTTCGCTCGTTCATTCACCACGTAGTAGCAGGCCAACCGCTGATGCATGCTCCAAGCTTATCCATCCTTCCGCCTCACCTTGCCGACTCGAGAATCGCATTTGCGAATCGAAGAAGAAAAGTCGCGCGTACAACCGCCAAGCTGTACGATGCGTTTCTCCTTTCTTTGCTTTTCCGCGAGCACACGCGCGCCAAAGTTTTTAATAGCTCGGCGACGGAGAGAACGAGGCGAAGAAAAAGTTCGCTTCATCTTTTCCCATTAAACGTCTTGGAATAACTGCGAGCGCGAGCTTGCGCGCAACTTTTATTTCGTCCATTAAAACTAACGTCAATGCAACTGTGTCTCTCTGGGCAATGAAAAACTCTATTGTCGTTGAGTGCAGTCGCGCGTACCTCTTGCATCGAAAGTTATTCAATTCTAAATTGAATGCGAGCGGCAACGTGTAAGCGCGCGATTAATCAAAGGCTAACTCTCAATTTCCCGTACTTTTCTAATTAAACGCTTATGCGCGTTTACTCTCGTGCGTCGAAAGCACGAGCGCGCACTCGAATTTTAGCCGGTTTCATTTCAATTTTTCACGAGCTACACATCGACCGCTACTCTTCAACTTTTTGTAGCGAACACTTTACTCTGTTTACGCGGACTATTTAAATAATTGATCAAACGCAATTAAACGAGCTAAAAAAAGAAAAATATCCACTTTGCTTTTGCGATCGAGGAAAGCCACACGCCATCCGCTGACATAATGAATCTAATAATGAGAAGCGGTATAGTTTGGCTAAAACTCACTCGAGTATACACTTTAGAGGGTAAGTAAATTCGCTCGCGGGGTAGGAAAAGAAAAGAGAAAAAGATCACGAGAGCTGAAACGTTAATGCCGTGGGTATTTTATCGATTGAACACACTATATGAAACGAGGTCGTCAGAGTCAACAGCCCGATATTGATTTTTCCCGTCTTTATCTCGACGAATAATTTTGGATTTATCCCTCGTGACGAATGTCATTGTGCGCCGAGCGCCAGACGCAAATCCCAAAAAATGAATCATGCAAATGATCTTATTAAGAAACATAGAATTTGGCCGTCGTATAAATCCTCAGGACGAATGATAGCGAGGGAAGAAAAATTTGACGGGATTTCGCTTTAATTAGGACTGAGTCAGGTGGAAAGAGCACGAGAGAAGTAAGAAAACTTTCTCAATTTAACGTTGGTCTGCGTCGATCGCAATATAAAACTGTTTTCGCGCGAAGCGATACCTTGTGGCCGTCGACTTTTCGCGAAAGTAGAAAAAGCTCGTGCGCGGTTTGAAAAATCGCCGCGTAAAGTTTTACGATCCCGGGCAGATGACGCGCCACAAGTTTTTCGTCAAGCAATTGATGGGCTATCTTTCATTTTTTCTTGCTTTCTTTCT